ATCTCTTTATTTTTAACGAATGTTTAAGCATATTTATGTCTTATTCTTTTACGTGATACTTCTACCAGACGTTTCGTATGGCGAAAGTAAAATAAGTCGAAACGTTTTTAAGAACACTTACGTTCCTGGTAAGAGTTTGTAAAGCGAGTCTCTATTTCCCATAAACCCAATGTTATAACTGAGGGTTACGTACCCTAACGACCGAATAATGACAAAAAATTATAAATTATGAATTTTATTGCATGAAATAAAACATACAAGCTACTGAAACAGATTATTACGTATGCTATTAAAATACAAGGGAATAACAAATACGTCCTTTCAACAATAATGGGAGAGAAACGGACTCCTGTACGTACCTGACTGACTGGACGATGTTGCGTCCTTTGTTTGCGTTTTCTTTAGGGAGTGTTCGATTTTGTTCGGAAGATTTCGGGGTGAGCGACTTCGCGTTCGGATGACGATCCAGGCGGAATGTATTTGTTTCATTATAGAAATTCGTACAAGCAAAATTTTGTAATATAAATCTTCGTTAAGTGAGGGGACTCACTGTAGTTTTTCTCTGGAAGTCCCTTCTGACAACTTTAATTTTGTTTTCGCTTTAACTTTCATCCATGTCAGTGTCCTGTAATATTGTTTAAACCGGTGGTTTGCAACTTTCTTTCAGTAACGCATCGGTAAATAAAATGTGAATTAATTATAACGGTTTAATGCATTCATTAGTTAGGAATTAATTCCAAATCAAAAGGGTCTCTCTAGAACTAACTGATAACCAATACAATAATTAATCAACTACAACGTATGTGACTAAGAAAGGTTTATGTAAGTACGTGTTGTTGCTAATAGTTTTCATTTCAGTTCCTTAGGTAAACCTCCTTGCATACTATAGCTTTCCATTTGCTGCATTAATTAAACTGTGGAGATTATTAACTAATAATATTAGTCGCTGAAGTTTCTTTCTGTCGCTTTCGTGTGGAGATGCGAGGAATCTCGTACAATGTGTGGGTCTGTTCGTGAACATTCATATACAGCCAGTAGGAAATACTAACCCGCTTAGCATTGAGGCTTACTGGAACAGAAGAGGAGATTAAGCATTAATGGAAGTCGAGTCTGTGCGGGATTTGAATCAGCGACCTTGCGAAGCCGGATCGCACAGCACCGTGTTTCAGTTGCAATATGAATCCAGAGTTAAATACATTACTTTCCATGATGTGAGCTTGTTCTACATTATCTGTTTTCAGTCAGGTAACCCAAAGTTTTCGATAACAAAGATTTGCCTAATAAAACCTTCACTGTATTTGAGAAATGTAGCAGCGAATTTTTCCTGATAATTGTTGATAGTGGAAGAATAATGTTTGTAAGTAAACAATCTTTACACGAAATTTTAGCTTCTTTCTAGATTTCTTGTTTAAAAAAATGGATAAAAACTTTTAGTGGCCTAGATAACAGTGTAAAAATGAGCGGAGTTGGATAAGATACATGATACTTAGCACACATGGGAAATATAGTATGAGAAATACATAACTTAGACGGAAAACATTAAGGACAGAGACGTCTTTGATGTTTTGGGCGTTGCCTTTATTAGAGGATAATATTAAAACGGATCTTAATATCTGTTGGTTTTTCACTGAATTTACCTGACTTAATATAGGAACCAGTGACTTTTTATAACGGTAATAATTTTCTGGTTTTATAAAAAGTAGGACATTTCTTGACTGGATGAGCGACTAGTAACTTTACTAGTAAGCGCTCTGCACCACGGAATTAGTTAAAGCATGATTCATAATGGGCTAGAATAAGTGTACAATTTCATTCCATTAACTTTAATGTACTTATAGGCGTTCTGAAGTCCAGAGACGTTCTGGCAGGAAGGAGTCTGAAATTCCTAAACTGCGATTAAATTAGGTACCAGTATGTGCTAATCGCGATTCTTTATAAAGTGAAAACATAATTGTGAAATGAAGATATATGAATTTTAAATACATCAAAAATGTGTCTACATACATATGAAATACTTTAATACAAAAATACTGGCTCCAACTTCAGCCCTGCAGATGGAGGTAGTGTATTTATCCCAAACCTTGGTTTTTAACTACACGTTCACACGATGTTGCAACTCAGAATACTAACATCGACAAAAATAATCAGGTTACTTAATCCCATCAAGCATAATGTATACCCTGAATATCATGTTTCAAACAGTAGTTCGAATCCCGTTCAGATCAGTACTTACACATGATATAATACCTCTGCCACGTGTAACAATGTTATCTGGTGACATTTATCTGGCTTGTTTACATACAATATTGTACTTACTATGCATGTTCCATTTCCGAACTAGTACATTATTCCATTTTCAAATATTGTTACCGCGATTAAATACGGACGTACAATGGTTAGTCCCATTTATCAGTCTTCATTTATGTAACCCCAGATCTCTCATTAGTTAATAGCTTCGTTTTGGGTGCTACAATTCACACAGGTATATTTGCCCTTCCTCAAGTTGTTATCTGTGGTTGTTTTAGGCTTGTCTGATTGAAAATGTCTCCTGTGTGTTTTGTAAACGTCTACCGCTTCTGGGGTAGCCATGGAGATAAATATGTAACAATATTGCAATAAGCGTGCTACCGACTTCTCTAACAGAATTCCAAATTTAATTTCCGGGGGTTTGTAAAAGTTTAGTAATGGTTTCCTGCCTGTGGTTTCTGAAGAAAAATGGAATGTTTCGTGTTTTAAAGAAGAGACTGTTGTCTGAAACGGAAAGCGAGGCATGGAAACCGGGATTCGTGTTCTTTACGTACAGATAAGAAATCAGAAAGCGACTTCAAGATATGGATGGTAAACACAGTAGGTTGGGAATTATGACTTGAATTTAAATAATTCACGTTCTCACGCTAGATTAGTTCTTACACCAAATGTCTGAACTTTTAAGATTTATATTGTCAGTTGAAGATTTACTAGTGGATATGAAAAATTAAAACTAACCTTCGTGTTTCTGAAAGACATAATAGCCTTCGAAGTAAAGAATTTAAAAACATGCACCTATTATTTTGGACATGTCTGCCTGTCTGTCCGTCTATCTGTCTACCTTTTCGCGTGTAACAACTGGATAAGTGCTGAACTGATTTTTAAGAAATGTTATATAGAGCGGTATTAACTAACATTTATAGACATTCCAATTTTGTGCATAATTCATTAAATATTTATCGGAACGAAACATGTTTCTAGTTTTCGAGATTATTAATGTAAATATACTTTCATGCAGTTTTATGTCGAACCATTGGACTGATTTTAATCAGAATTTATATTGTCGGCCCTTGCTGGTTCGTCCGGCATCTCTTACGCTATTTGTAAGAGAGCTTCGAAAGTTGGCGTTCGCAAATTGAACATGTAGATACAATAACAGGGCGAAGGAGGCAGAATTTTTACGCTGTGGGTAAATTTCCTAGCTTTTCCATTTTACGTGTTTTAGGTTATGTAGCCAGACTTCTAAAGAGCCTTAGGTCTGAGCGTACATTATACTTTTGAGAGCTTTAAGTTAAACGAAACAAAGAACTTTATTTTCTTTGTAATTTTATAACGTTATGAGAAATGTTGCTTCTTTAATCCTTTAAAGCCCAGTGGTAAATATGTGTACCACCTTTTTTAACAGTCAGTAACTCTGCATTGTATTTATGGGTTTAATTTTTTCTGTAAACAGGGATTATTTAATCAAAAATCATTAACAAGTTTGCCTTTGTAAAAAAGAGTGTTTTGTTGTCTTTGAGGGACGGATAAGTAAGTAAAGTTTTTCCCACTATACGCCATGTAGGCGCTTGGGGGGAGTGGAGGTATAGCTCCTCTCTTCCTTGACCTCGGCACTAGATGGGGGTGAGTGGTCAGCATCACGCCCCGGCCGGCTTTACCCCCGGGAAAGGACCCCGGTACCCATTGTAGAGGAGGCTGGGTGGGCCCCAGAGCCGGTCTGGACGCAGAGGCTAGAGGAAAAATCCTCTGCCCCCGTCGGTTAAATTTAAAATGGCTCATATACTATAGCCCAGAAGTTGACAAGTAAAATTAACATTTTAGTTACCCCCACATTTTTCAGCTTACTTTATTTGCTCTTAGTCTTAACATGACTAGCTACAGGTTTCCAAAATCGTGACTTATGTTGTTCATGCCCTCAGTTCAAAAGTTCGCGTGTACATTATGTTCCTTTATGTAGCTGTAGAAAAACATTTACATTTTTCATCTATGAGAAGGCCATATTATAATTATACATATCGCTGTCCAACCATGAATTACAGAAAAATCTTCTACACGAAGTCGTTCTCCTTATTCCCTTTTTTTCCATACAAACTCCTGTAAGACTGACGTTCGTGTTGGTGAATGGACAGAATTAGAGCAAATGCTCATATGGTAGACCCCCTCAAAGATAGCCTGGTCGTTCAAAAGCTGTAAATTGCTAACATATATTGGCATGACAGGATTGGCCCATATTAAGCACGTAATTCGTCTAAATAATATTTAAAAACCAAACCCTATCTCAAATATTTTTAAAAAAACAACGCGTCTCCATTACAAATAACAGTTGGTCAATTCTGTGCAGGGAAATAATCGCTGCTTATTCTGAAAATCTAAAAAAACTCGTAAATACAAATCTGCAAATCTGTGTGCATGCAGTCTTATTTTGAAATGATTTATATAATTATAACTGTGCCTTGATGGGTTAAAGCACTCAGAAATTTCAAACATAGCAAACAGATGATTATCTTATTAATTCAGATTTCCGTGGTGATAAAAATTAGGATTATCTTCCTCTGAATTACGAAGCCTTATTGGTTAGTCTTGTAGATAGTTACCAATGTTTTCGGAAGAACATAACTCTTAATTTACAGAATAGAATTCTCCCTGAAGATGTAGGCGAAACGTCGTAACCACGTATAAGACAACTCAGAAGGACACATCTTAAAATTGTATCTCGATATGAAAGCACTGATAATGTTCGTTATTTGTTTCAGATGAACCGTCCTATCCAGGTGAAACCAGCGGACAGTGAAAACCGCGGAGGTGAGCAATGATCTTTCGGAATTCTTCTAAACTTCAAGAAAACTACATAAGTCCTCTTCCTATAAGCAGTACTGTAGGCTATATGTTGAGATTATAAAATAAAATGTCAGTTTTTCAGTTGGATATATCCTCGACATGGCATTATTAACAAATATGTATTTATTTATTTATTTATTTATTGGAAATATGATCGGAAAGGTCATACGATTAAGAAGCTACATAACTAGCATGTCTTCATTATTCGTTGAACTAAATCGAATCTAATTTGTCAGAAGTTCGAGGACTTTTATTCATTTACAGTAAACTATGTAATAGATTACATAAAACGAATCTTATGCACACGTGAGGATACCCAACATAAGAAGTGTCATAATAATAATAATAATTTGTTGAGTATTGATGAACTTTCTGTTACCATTTAATTATTATTTGAAAACAGGTTTCGAAATTTCTTAACTTGATGACTCAGTATATTATTTAAAACTTCTGCATTGTAATTTTCCAGTGGTAGAATTAATAATGATTAATATTGCATTGTATCTGCCTATTCCTATTTCAGCTTTCTCATATATTTGGATACAGCTCGATCAGCTAACTACAGTTTATTATTTGCCGAAAATTCTGTTTTACAATTTTTCCAATGCTTAATCATTTCAAGTCCTTTGTTCCTCTGATTTAATTCACACAGTATATTTATACAACATGTAGGCTATGTAGGTTTTAATTACCACAAAAACAACTTCGATATTTTAATTACAGTTTAATTGTATGATTATCTTTCCGTTTGAAACGATAATGTACACCTAACAGAACAGACCCAATAGACATAACTAACTTATACGTTTTCATAATTATGTCATAACTAAGACAGATTTCGTGATTTGCTATTATTTTAGTTCCTTTGTGTTCTTCAAATCCGTATTAATACATCTGCATTTCGGTGAGAGAGAAAGTTACATAATTAGGATCTTCATAATTATTATTCTGTAACAAATGTTATTGAGATGATTGAATAATGGAAGACTGGATTAGCAGGACATGTAGCAAGCATGGGAGAATTGCGAAACGCATAAAATATTTTATTAAACTTATGAGAAGAGAAGAATCTAATTCCAACCATGTTGTGTGTGCGAGGACAGTGTTAAAATAGACTTTTCATTTGAAGGTAAAACACTTTTTGATCAACTAATTAGGTCAAGATAGACACAGTTGAATGGCGTTTATTAATACTGCCTTTTTAATAGTAACAGTCAAGCCTTTAATAAATTGACACCTCATTGTGTACCGACTGAATTTTTAAACACGAAGTATATTAAAATTGGAGTATTTATGAGTAATAATATGAGCAGGTTTGAGTAACATTGGGAAACCCATAATTCAGAGATGATAACAGTTTTCGGGTGTATGACACATTTTAATCAAATATATTAATTAGTAAGGCGATGAATTTCTTTGAGGTCGTAATTAGTAGCCCCTTGTTGTTATATCGTAAGTTGCTCATTTAATTCTGCTTAAGCCCAAATCCTTTCCCCAGCATTTTATTTAAGGACAATTAATTTTTGTTGCTCCCTAAAAAATAAAAACAAATTGTGTTAGTAATCTTTTGTAACATAGAAATTTTACGCCGAATGGTTGTTAATCCAACGCTCAAACCCAAATCCCCTTCCCTAATGTCTACATTTGCTTACTTTATATATTTGCAGTTTAATTACATAAAGGCTTAGTCTACATGCTGAAATGCAACGGCCTTGTAAGGAAGTGTCACATATCTGCATTCAGATTCATAATATTCTGAATTTGTCTTCGTAATGATTTGCCAGTCCCAACACTGGACATCTCATGTCTGTGCCACGTTACGGTGGCCGTTTAGTGAGTTCATATTAAATATGAAAGCAGCGATGTCATGACACCGGAAATATCAGGGAATTATGTAACACGCGACTGTCTAGGGAGAGCGTTTGATAAACTATACAATTTTTAAATGCTGTTTAACACTTTCTCATTCATTTCTGTTTTTATACACTTTAAAGAGTACAGAGAAAGATAAGTACTGACCTTATAATCAATTTGTCTGTACTTGTATGATTGTGAAACTTGGTCATCCACGTTAAGGGAAGAACATAGGTTAAGGGTGATTGTGAACAAGGTGCTTAGGAATGTATTTGGATCTGAGAGGGATAAAGTAGCAGAATGCTGGAATAGTTTTAATAATGACGAACTCCATGATCTGTACTCATCACCAAATATTATTAGGGTGATTAAATTAATTGGAATGAGATGGACGGGTCATATAGCCTGCACGGGGTAGGTGATAGTAGCGTACAAAATTTTAGCTGTAAAGCCTGAAAAGGAAGAATCACTTGGAAGACCTAAGTGTAGATGGAAGGATGATATTAACATACATCTTAGTTTTTGAGGGTGTTGATTGTATTCATGTGGCTCGGGATAGGGAGCTGTTTGAGGCTTTCTTGAACACGGTAATAAACTTTTAAGCGTCATAAAAGGCGTGGAGTTTCTTATGTATTTGAGCAACTACCAAGAAATTTCATGTCCTGTATTTATCGTATTACAGTCATAGACATAATGTATTTGTTTGTTTATTTCGTTTAACATTCCAATGTCGCTTTTAAACAGAGTGATGACTGTAAACAATGGAGGTTTATTTCTGAGGTACTAACGTGGCATAGTGTAGGCTATGACACTACAAGATGTCGCTTACATCATTTGTGCAAGAAAAATTGCACTTATATAAATTGTAAGGGCGGGTTTTTTCTGTAGAACTAAATTTGTAAACATCAGAATTGAATTAGTCACCTAACTACATAGACAATAACCCTCCTCTATAAGCCGCTGAAGAAGTACCCACTTTTTCTAGAACTCGTTTTAAGTACAGCCAATAGACTCTATCCTGTGCAGGCAGAATGCATTTCATATCCTCAAAACTTATTTCTTTTGTAAGATGCATTTTAATGTTATCCTCCCGTCTAATCTTAGATTTCCCAAATTGACTCTTCCCTTCAGGGTTTTAGACTAAATTTGTGTATGCATTGCCCATATCCACATGCATTCTAAATATCTCATGTCTCTTTCCTTTATATGATCCGAGTAATACTTGGGCGAAGAATACAAATTATGGATCTTCTCTGTCCTGTTACTTCCTCTCTCTGAGGTCCAAACGTAATCTTATCAACTTACGTAATCAAGCATTTTCGTTCGCTTGTGGGGAAAATACGCGGTATGAATACTAAAGCTCAGTCCTTCTGATATGCTGTCTATAGTTAGTTACATTGAATACTAACATGAGTCGTTCGCTTAGCATGGAGTCCAATCTCATTCATCAACAAGTTCCATCTAACTCGGTCATCGGACATCGCGGTTAGGTACACGTTCTGAGGTCTCGAGTTCTTGTCGGTAGGGCCTATTTTCTGACTGAGACATTCGGTGGGTTTTCACGATCCATCGAGGCAAATGCTTGGAATACTAAAACAAATCATTAAACCTTCCTATCATATCCTTGCACTCGAAACCTTGTGGAGAAATGTTTGTTAAATAAGCTAAGAAACAAGTAAGGTTAGTCAAAAACGTTCTCAAGTCACTGGGGCTTACGAACTCACGTTTTAACGACACGCCGACGTAGATAGAACCCTGTTTCGAAATTTCTTATGACGCTGCTATTTATTTTTGTTGTCTTCATATGCTTTATCTGAGAGTAATCTGGCTATCACGCATTAACACAAAAAAGAAAAATGACCTTTAAACAGGCGTTATGCATGTAAACATGCACGCACAAGTTAACTAAAAATAAAAAGGTAGACATCAACATGGAAATTGCTAGCTAGCGCCTGGCTGATGGATGACAACGTAGATATGTACCTGATAAGCTACTTGTTGGCTGCTATATTATTCCGTCCACAGTATGACCATCTATCTCAGATGAACATAACTTTATGAAGTTTAGATTATCTTTGTTAATGGTGGCACTACTCAGGTGTTAATACAGATATGTCATATGTGTACAAGTATCGCTTTCTATCTGACTTTCAGTGCATGTGAATTTTCCAAGGCATTAGAGAAAAATTAAACTCATGTTAGTGTTTTTGATCGTTTATTTGCCATACTTTAAATAAACACTACACGGGAGACCACAAGGACTAATGGAGAATTGTAGACAATAATTTTCTTACTGTATATGTTTCCCCTTTCTATGCACGTTCGCAGCTAAAGTTTTCAAAAATGCGTCGTTTGGAATGTGTTCTTTCTTCGTAATAACATCGGCTCTGGGGCCCACCCAACAACCTAGACACTGAATACTGGAGTAAAGCGAACGGAGCGTGAAGCTAACAACTCACCTCCAACTTCAGGGGAGGTTAAGAACTCGAGAAGCTACACTCCCCCATTCGCCCGCATGGAGTGGGTAAGGACTTTTACCTTTATTTTAATAAAAGCCTCGGAAAATAACAGGCGTTATTGGTAACATTTCTACAAACAAACCTTCCATGCAATATTTTCAAGTCACATACCTTATAATAGTTTCTCGAAAACTCATTCCACGAGTGAAATTTGCAATTCGACAGTACTGTGTTAAAATTATGTAATTTCGTAATTTGAATTGAGTTCACAAATTTTTGTTTGATACATTTTTCGTAGCACATCCTCCTGTACAGTTATTCTTTTAATTTGGTAAAAATTTTAGGTGGCAGCGAAAACGTGTCTTCACTAATTTTGCGATTAATTGTTATTTTGCATGGTTGGAAATAAAATCCCTTCTCTTGCAGTGGCATTGCATTCACACACGTCTAAACCGATGATATATGTAATTGTTTCCGCATTAAATGCGATACAGCGAGCCATTAGTAGAATTAGAGTGAGCCGGAAATATCAGAACCTGTGGCTAACTGAACGCTGCGGGTGTCCAAAGACTGTAGCAGATCGTGTAATATCTCTGTCGGATTTGCCTGGAGAGCTATTGTAACCAACTGCATGGAACATATTTGTTTTTG